ATGATGCTAGCCAAAAAAAAAAAAAAAAAACCAAAAAAAAAAAAAAAAAAGAATATGATGCTAGCCTGGAAACCTTTCCCCAAACAAACCAACCAACCAATCAAATGGAAAGATAATTTAAGGTACAGACAGGTTACATAAGCCCAAGGTCACACAGGTACTGGGTAAAAGTGCTGAGATATGAACCCGGGACAATCTATTTCAGAGCCCCGGCTGTTAAACTTGATGCTGTATGGCAGTGCAATGAGTGTGCCTTGTAGAGGCTGAGGTTTGGGGTGTCCATAGTGTTCCCCACTTTTGCACATCCTTATCCCAGCCTGGAGATAGAGGTGGAATGATGCAGAGAAGCCACTGATCTGCCCTTTGGGCTTCTCAACAGGTAAAGGGATTAGTACCCAAGAGAGGAACATCTCCAGGCCCTTGGCTAGGGAAGAGGGAGGCCATTGATGGATAAGGCAATGGGAGGAAGCTCACTGAGAGGTACTTGTGATGGGCCTTCACAAAAGTAGACAGAGGAGCAAAGGCCGAGTGTGTTAGTGGGGGAGCATCAGAGGTCTGTCCAGGTAGAAGGCTCATATTTCTGTGCACACCGTTGGGCAGGGGAGCAGAGACCATGCATTGCTCATGGGCTTTGGAAGAGTGTAGAGCACACATAGCTGGCCTGACCTGGACCAAGCTGATACTCAGATTCTCTGGAAGCTCCACAGCTCTGAATTCACTCACCTCTTACTGGGCTCATCTTTCTGCTTCTCCGAGTCTTAGTTTCTCCTGCAGAATAGGCATGAGGAGTGGACCTTGGAGTCCATTGAAGGGCAATAACAGATGGCATGAGGTGGGAGCTGAAACCTCATGAGGCAAGAGATAGGTGAAAGTATTGGGGTGGGGGTAGGGGAGAAGAGGCCATAGGACCAGAGGAGCCCAGCATGCCTGGATTGGGGTGGCAGGTACCAGATCTGCTTAGTCTTTCACACCTGTTTTCTGTTGCCAAAGGCTTGCCAGCTCTCTTGGTGTCTACAGGGGCAGATCCATACTGGGCCCTGTTCCACTCCCCAGCTTAGGATAGCCCGGCCATGGCTCCTGGAGGCAGGCATTATAGCATCGACTAAGGAGTCCTTGAAGAATATTAGGCCTGTGCCTCAAGGATACTATGAGACCCGCTTTGCCCAGTCAGTCTGTCCAAACCACTGTCCTTACCCTTACTGGGTCTCAGGTGTGTAACAGGGCCCTAGAATGAAAAGGGACCCTTCCCCCAGCCCAGGCAGCCTCCCAGAGCCCTTGGAGGCATAGGGGCATATGTGTATGTGTGTATGGGGGTTACAGTGAAGGGGTGAATTAATCCAGGCTCACCCTCAGGGGCTCTCTATGATGCTAATCTCTTCTGCTTTTGATCCCTGCCCTCCCCCTCCCAATCCCAGCCGGGTCTGAGCTGAGGCCTTAGTGCTGCACAGGAGCAGGGATTAGGGCTGCCCTGGGTGAGGCCCAGCCTATCCATAATGAAGCAGAAGGGTTTTACCCCCGGGCAGGAGATCAGAGCCCAAGTCACTTGCCTGGCATATGCATTGTACTCTCCTTTGCCAGAACTTCCTCGCTCTCACTTTTCCTCTCCTGGGCTGACCCTCTCTCTCCTCTCCAGAGGAGCTCTGGTAGTGCCCTGTACACAGAAGCCCAGTGCGCTCTGGGGAAAGGACCAGAGGCTTTGGCCAGTAAGCAGTGGAGTTGGGCCACGAGCTCAGTTAGTGCAGACTCCAGTCCTGCCCTGTCTGTATGAAGGGGCTTTGTTCAGGTAGGTTTTTTGTTGTTTGTTTGTTTGACCAGCATTAGTGGAGGGATCCTGAGTGCCAGGGGTGTACCAGAACACGCATGGTCTCTTACAGTCCTCACAGCCCCTGTTACAGGTCTGCTTGTGGGGAGGCGGAGTGTCCCAAGGAATGTGACCTAAGTGGTGCAGTCTGACCAGACCTAGGACAGCAGCTTATCAGAGGCTGTCACTGCACAGAGGACAAAAAGGCCCAGGCAGATACGCGCAGTCTTTGCAAAGGATGAGCTGGCCTTCTATGCCTGTCTTCCTGTCCATGCTCAGCCTTGTCCTAGACATGGCCGGGATCTTCTATGCATTTAGAGGAGCTGGGAAGAGAGCCCAGGCCTCTACACTGCCGCAGAGCTGCAGAGGGTACCTTTAAGGATGCCAGCCTCAGGGGATCATAGAGGCCTCTCAGCCAACCCAGCCTCGCAACAGCCCTGTAAACCTGGGCTTATACACAATTAAAATTTTATTACATTATATTTCCTACATATAAAAGACTATTTGTGAGCTATGAACACATCAGAACGAAAGCTCATGGCCACTCTGCTTAAGAACTGGATTATTTGGGCACTGGGGAAGACCTGCCTCTTGGCCCCCTACTTCCCAGGAGGAACTAGTACCCTAAATGTGATCATTACTCCCTTCCTCTTTTAAACAAATCGTTTTAGTACATGTGTGCGGAACCACTGGCCTCACTGCACCTTTAAGACATGGCCTTAGATTCTTCAATCCCAGAGGATGTAACTTCTTTAAGGGACAGGAGGACCTCTGAGGAGCCACCTGTATTCTCATGCCCCCCCCTTTTTTTAGGGCCACATGGAACCTCATTTGCCCTCCTGCCTCAAATGCTCCAAAATGGACGCATGTTCCTGGTACAGCCAACAGGACAGGGCAGCATCTGGCAACTGGACATTCCTTGAGCAAGGTGTGCTACTGTTTGCTTGGGCAGTGTTCTCCATCTGTAGGACCCTTTCCTTTCCACCCAGGATACCTGGCTCCTTCTAGCTCCAGCCCCAGGGTTTCATGGCAGGGAAGCTTTCCTTGGGAGATCTGATCTCTGTATCCATCAGTATCTTTGGGCAGCCATCCATCTCACAGGGCAGAGATGTTAGGTAGCTAGTACCCAGATCCCAGAGGAGCTGAGCATTGGCTCCAAAGTAGACATTCCTAGAGTGACTCAGAGTAAGAGAGTACATGATAGCTCGTGGACATCCCTGGGTATAGGGACTTCATGGAGGAGGATTTCCTCCAAGGTTCTGTGGGCTAGTCTGGCCTGTGGACTGGGAGGGAAGTCTCAGGGAGGCTCTTAGGACTTGGGGCGCTCTACTATCCACTTGCTGGATGGATGGGTGAGTCAATATATATGCCTACATGGGGGTATGGTTGTTAAGAGTGTGAGTGCACATACATATGTGTGTAATCCCAAGTCCACATGTGTGTGGATCATGATGAGGGACTTTCTTCTCTTTGTGGATAAGCCTGTTTGATCTTTGAGCCTCACACAAGGCACATATATGGAGAACCTACCATGCACTAGACTACAGGGGCTGGCAGGGGCAGGGCAGTGGACCAGCAGCTGGCTCTTGAGGGGACTGAATAACTACTCACATGTCATCCTAGACTGCACACCAGCCCTAGCAGCCTCCAGCACCATAGCCTCAGCCTCTCAGATAGAGTCCCTAGCATCCAGAGGCCTGAGAGGGCACCTGCAGGTCAACAGTGGGGCCAGAACCATGAGATCAGCCACCAGTGGCCAGTGCTTGCTTCTCATGCTGAGTGATGTCAGTGCAGGGCCTGCCCGCCCCACAAGGAAGCTGACAGCAGGAAAGGTCCAGAAGCTTCCCTTTCTCTTTGCTTCCTGGACTGGAAGCTGTGATTTTCCCCAGTGACGTTTGCACAGGTGTCCTCTGGGAGGGCGCACAGCAGTGCCAACAGCAGAGACTGAAGACAGCCTAGAGCAGAGTGAGACTGGACAGGGTGGAAGAGCACCACCAAATGTCTGAAGCAGGAACCAGAGTGTTCACAAAAACACCCATGCACATACACATACACACGAACGTGTACGTGTGCCCACAGAGGACACAGGAACTAGGGACACACATGCAAAGCTTATTCCAGACCTTTCAGCCTGTCTCTTTACTCAGGCTGTCCCCAAAAGGGACCTTCAGCTGCAGTACCCACTGCAACTGAGTTTCAGGTTGTTGTGTTTGAGAGAGATGAACTTTGAGATAATCAGGGAGTCCTTTCTGGGTCCTTTTGGGCTTCCTTTTCTGGTGACATGGTGGCATGGGCTATTAGTGTGATTGTGGGGGCCGGCAGAGTCTTTTCTTACCTTCTATATGTCTTCCTCCCAAAGGCCTGAGTGGAAGCTCCCTCAGAGACTTAGCAGGCAGGGGCTCTGCCTGGGAACTCTGGCAGCCTAGCAGAACATAACTCCTCACTTCCATCCGTGGGGCCGTGGACAAGCTCCTTGCCCCCCTGAAACCTAGTTCCACACCTGTGCAGATAAGATGACTACTACCTGAGTAGTGCCTGGAGATAGTCACACCAGTCTAGGACACGACTGAGACACTCAGTTGACTCTTGCAAGCCCTGTGCCTGGTAGAAGTCACTGGGTTCAGGCTACCAACACCACAACATGTGCACTTGCCCTAGTGGTCCCAGAAAAGCCAGAATCCAGACTTGGCGTTGCCTTACCAGCTGGGAGTCTTGGACATGTCACTGGCTGGCCCCCTCTGGCTACAGCTGCCTCCATCTCAAAGGAGCTTATCAACTCAAGGGTTAGATGAGATAAGAGCCATCAGAAGGCTCTTGCAAGTAACAAGCCGGTGCCCCTCTGAGAAGTGACAGAGGACAGGATACCCAGTCTTTTGGCATCCAGATGGGCTGAGCTCTGTATGTCCCTGCAGAGGGACACTGAGTAGTTTGAGAACCCGCTTCGGAGCCCATCAGGCCCCTGGCTGCTGGTGACGGGAACGCTCCTTTGAGGGGAAGCTAGGTCCCTTTGAAACTGCCAGTCTACACTAAGGGACAAACGGCGTTCAAAGCGGCTCCTCTGGCCCTTAATTACCCTCTGTCACCCATGGGTGGAATTCCACTCAGTTAGCTGAAGGAAGGCACCCACGCCGCTGGCTGCCACATGCCGGTGAGGACTGGGCTTCCCTGCCGCCTCTGCCGCCGCTAGAGCCTCGGTGGCAGCCGGCTCGGTTTCTGATTTTAATGATTTCCTGAATTCATTCCATTTCCTACCTCGGGGAAAGGAGGAGAGGTGATCCTCTTGGAAATTCACATAATTGCTTTTATTTGATTTTTATTAAAATGCATTCAGGAATAATGTGATTGCCCCCGTTATTCCGTCGTTCATCAATCCTGCTCAGGGAATCTGGTGAAAAAAAGCAATGGGTGCAGGAGCCTCCAGGGCATGCGAGGTGTGATGAGGGCACCTCTCAGTGGCTTGGAGAGTCACAGTCCACCTCTGGCTCTTCCTTTACACACACACACACACACACACACACACACACACACACACACACACGGCTCCTGCTGCATAACATATTCTACACATCCTCCAACCTCAGCCCACTCCTGCTCCCTCCCTGCCCACCTTGGAGACACAGGGACTCAGAGGTGAGGACCATGGTGGGAAACCTGCTGCCTTCCCTTGCCCATGCCCCCAGTTCTCTGCACTTTGGCCTGTTTCCAGCATAACCTTTAGCTTTGGGCTCTTAGCGTACGAGGTTAAGAAACCAGTGTCTTGCTGGGTGGTGGTAGCGCACACCTTTAATCCCAGCACTTGGGAGGCAGAGGCAGGAGGATCTCTGAGTTCAAGGCCAGCCTGGTCTACAAAATGAGTTTCAAGATAGCCAGAGCTGTTACACAGAAAAACCCTGTCTTGAAAAACTAAAGAAAAAAAGAAAGAAAGAAAGAAAGAAACCAGTATAACCAGTATTTCCCTCAGACCAAGTACAGTCCTTATCTACTTGGCATAGTTAGAATATGGGCAGATTGCTTTGCCTTTCCCAGCCTCTGTTCGCTGTTGAAACTAGTGGAATACAGCCCAGTGCTATGGTGCCCTCCTGTGATTCCAGCACTTGGAAGCCTGAGGCAGGAGGAGCTCCAGGTCAGTGCCTGCCACAAAGACCAGTTAATGGGACCATGAAGACTTGCCTTAGCATAGAGACAACACGGACTGAGCAGGTAGCAAGTGCCATGCTGTGAACTACCACGGATGCCCACCAGGGTGGATTGGTACCATGTGGCCTTGCCTCACAGGAGTGGATGGGTTCCATCCACCCACCCTTGGCTGTTTGCTAAAGGTAGTCTGCCCCTACTGGGGAGAAGCTGTGCAGAAAATCAGGGAGCACGAGGGTAGACACTCACTTTCAGAGCTCCTTTTGTGGGTCGGGGGTGGGGGGCTTATTTCTGCAAAAAGTCTGTCTTCACTTGAAAAAAGTGCAACAATATTTACCCTGCTTACTGAGTTTTCACTGTTTCTGTTGATCTTGGTGCAAGTCATTTGGCAATGGCCACAGCTAGGGAATGTAGAGAATGGAGGGAGTGGATTTTGAATTTATGTTACTGGGGTCTCTGGTGCTTACCACCCAGCTAAGCATTCAGATGTGGTATCCGGGCCTACTCTGCACCATTCCTGCCACTGGGATGCTGTTACTATTGTTCTCTGTGGGCCAGACTACACGCCTCCCAGATCCTTGAGAGCGCTCCCACTGAATCATGGGCTCCTGCCCCAGAGCCTGTGTGACCCTCTGACCATATGCTTTATGGTCCCAGGAGAGGTCCGCTGCTCTCTCCAATCAAGTTGTAGTCTGTCCAGGGGGAGGGGAGTCCTGTCCTTTCATGGAGAGGGTCAGGCAGTGGGCTGGGAAGGACCTCTAGAGTCTCAGTAAAAGAAATCTCAAGGCCAGAGTTTGAGAAAGCCACTGCCAGTCATAGCGGCCTCAGCCTGGGTTTGTCCTGGGATGGCGAGTGTTCAGTTCTTAGCTGGGCTGGTTTTGGCTTAAGCCACTGTGTTGGGAACTGCATTGCAAGGAACTGCCCCCCTGCTCAACTGCACCCCTTCAAGATTCTGATACTATTGATGGCCCATGTACACCTCCGGAGGATAGGGAACCCAGAGGGACAGGAACAGTCCCCAAGGCCATGAAAAGGTCAGCTGAGGAGCTGAACAAAGAACACTAGCCACCACAGTCTCTGGCTGGTCCCGTGCTGACTCCCATCTCTCCTCTCTGAGTGGCCCAGGCTAGGAGCAGGAGCAAACCCAGACCCTGTAGATGACAACACTGACTGAAATTGGGAGGCTTGTCCAGCCTCAGTTTCCCTTCAGTAACCTGGAGGCCAAGACCAGGCAGGGCAGGCACCCCAGAAACCAGTTCTGGGGCAGGGATTCTTTAGAGGCTGGGACCTGGGACTTGGATGTGCTGCTGGATGGGTAGCACCTGACCAGCAGTTACCCCAGAAGCCCAGAGGTCAGTGGGCTGAGTTGTCATTGTGCCTTTGGCCTCCAAGCCTTGCTCCTGCACCCCAGCCTTCTGGCTACACCCCAGCCTTGTTCAGCATGCGGCTTCTTTATCAGATCTCCGTTTCGTTTCTCTCTGTGGCAGCCTCAGCCTGGCCCCCGCCCCCACCCCATGGCCCTTTCCTCTCTGAAGTGATGTGCCTTTTCCTGCCACCCCCGTGTGCAGTGCGCAGGAGATGTTTGCTCCTCGTTGCTTTCAGAATGCTTCCTTTTGGTGGTGGGGGTGGCCTACTGACTGAGCTCCAGAGTCCTGCTGTGTGCTGGTGACCTGTAAGGGGCAGCTGAGCCGAATGGAATTTGGGGCGACTGTGGGCTGTATCCACCACCTCGAGGCCTCTGGTGCAGGTTCTGGAGTACTACAGTCAATTCATGCTCCTAAGGAAGCTTGTTGGTCAGAGGTTGCCAGTTGGTTCCTGCTGCAGGGAGCTGAGCCAGAAGGCAGCGGAAGGTCCAAGCTGCTGAACCTCTGGTCTAGTGCCTACCCAGAGTAGAGTGCTATGGTAACCTTCCCACCCTAACTCGCCCTTCTTTACCCGTGGTCCCCGCAGCACAGGGACCACAATAGAATCAAGCAGCAGCGCAGCTTCCCAAAGCTCCTGTGTCAAGCTCTCAGGCTCCAATGAACTTTAGGAGCTGAATTAGAATTTTACGTCCACCTTCTGGGTGGCCTTAAGCCAAGTGGCCCGGCCTCTCTGAGTATCACAAGGCCTAGCTAGTAAATGAGAAACATGGAAGAGACTCTAGCAGCCAGTAGACTTTGGAGCGAGAATGTAGGAGGCTAGGGGGCCTTGTGTGCTTGACAAGAGCCTGGGGAAGCTTTAGTGGTCAGCCAGGTAGGGGCAAGCAGCAGAGGTGAGATACAGGGAGCTCTGAAGGCCAGTGAGCATATGAGTCCTGTGAACTTGTTCCAGAAAGATCCTGGAGGCAGCGGGACGGAGGAGGATGGATGGCCACCGTTGGGATTTCAATTAGTAAAATTAAGTGACCCACCTCCTCACCAAGAGCAAGAATCATAGATGTTCTCTGCTGCCCACCTGGGACAGAATTCCCAGACTTTGGCCTCCTCCAGCAGACAGGTAAGAGATGGGAACTCTCCTTTCCTCCAGTCTGGGGCATCCCTGGCATTCCTGGAGAGTGTTGGCACAGCAGCCCCCTAGGACCTGAGCATCTGCTTTTCATCAACAACGTGTTTTGAGCCCCTTCCGCTCCCCCCCCCCCTCAGGCCTTATTCTCTGCAGCCCTTCTCCTGGAGCAGGACCTGGCAATGTGCTTCTAGACCCCCTTTTGTGGTGATATTGTGTTCCCCAAAATATTGTGCACCCTAATAAACTTACCTGGGGTCAGAGAACAGAACAGCCGCTAGATATAGAGGCCAGAAAATGGTGGCGCATACACCTTTAATCCCAGCATTCCAAAGGCAGAGATCCATCTGGATCTCTCTGAGTTCAAGGCCACACTGGAAACAGCCAGGCATGGTGATTCACTCCTTTAATTCCAGGAAGTGATGGCAGAAAGGTATATAAGGCGTGAGGACCAGGAGCTAGAGCTGGTTAAGCTTTTAGGCTTTTGAGCAGCAGTTCAGCTGAGATCCATTTGGGTGAAGATTCAGAGGCTTCCAGTCTGAGAAAACAGGATCAGCTGAGGAATTGGCGAGGTGAGGAAGCTGTGGCTTGTTCTGTTTCTCTGATCATTCAGCGTTTACCCCAATACATGGCTCTGGTTTGATTTTATTAATAAGGCCATTTAAGATTTTTGCTACACCCTTTTGCCGTCACACTGGGCTAGGACCTCAGGCAGGGTGGTTATCTCCAGTATTCTCACAGATAACGGACCTCCACGGCCTGGGTGGGGCTCTGGACATGACCCTCCCATTAGAGTTGCTAAGGAGGCAGAAATAAAACCACTATGTTCTCTGCTTTTCCATCTTGGTAGGAGGAGGTTATGTGACTGGGACTACCTTTTCTTCAGCAAGCTTTGAGGTTTTTAAAAATTATTGCATTTATGTATTTATTTAATTTTTATGGGAGGGGCAGCATGTGCCACTGCCCAGTGTGGAGGCCACAGAACAAGCAGCAGGAGTCCCTTCACAGTGTGCGTCCCAGGGATTGAACTCAGCTCACTAAGTTTGACAGCAAGCATCTTTACACACTGAACCAGCTCGCAGCCCACTCTGCAAGCTGCTTCTTCAGACAAAGGCGGCTTTGTTTTCCACAGTCACTGGGGCCACTGCACCCATTTCCCAGATAGACAAACCAGGGCCTAGGGCCTCCCTCTCTTCCTCTCTTCCTCCCTCCCTTTCTCCCATCTTCCCTTTCTTCCTTCTTTCCTTCCTTCTCCCTCCCTCCCTCCCTCCCTCCCTTCCTCCCTCCCTCCCTCCTTCCTTCCTTCCTTCCATCTTCCTCTCTTCCTCCTCTCTTCTTTTCCTTTCTTGGTGGAGCTTATGTAGCCCAGGTTGGCCTCAAACTCAAGCTCCTCCCCCTTCAGCCTCTTAAGTTCTGGGTTACAAGCCTGTGCCAGCACACCTCCAGGCTTTGTGTTTCTCTGCTTTGGGGTCTGAAGGCTGTAGCAGAACAGCCTCACACCTGCCAAGAACCAGAAACTACCTCCCTCCCCTTCATCACCAGGACGTGTCAAGTAAGAGGAGTGAGTCCCAGAGAGCTAGCTCCTGAGGGCTGGGAGTGGGAGAGGGCCACACAGGGCAGAAAACAGATGCCTGGCCCAGGCTTGCCATGTGATCTGGCCTTTCTCACGACTGTGAGGTGGGTCTGGGGCTTGGCTCTGACCTTGACCCACTGAAACAGGATGCCATAAGGTGCCAGGGGCCACACTATCACAGGCCGTCGGTACTCAGTGGTGGTTAGAACAGACTGGATGGCACAGACCCTGCCTATGCTTCCTGGGCCCCGGGAAGGGAGACAGAGGTGTGAGAGCTTAGTAGTGATGGAGCCAGGGTGGCCAGAGTTAAGTCTCTTGAAAGGAAACTCAAGAGTGTGGTATTTTATTTGATATCTTTTAGTTATTTTGAGACAGAGTCATACTAAATAACTCTGGAACTCGCTATGTAGACCAGGCTGGTCTCCCATTCACAGAGATCCTCCTGCCTCCGCTCCCGACTGCTGGGATTAAAGGCGTGCGCCACTCCACCAGGTTTGATGAGTACGGTATTTTAAGCAGGGAATGTGGCTGATTGGTGGTGAAGTGCTCGTCTAGAACCTGTGAGGCTCTCGGGCTCCCTAGCACCGTGGCAATAAATAATGTGGTATTTCACGTACCTGCAAGTTGTAGTCCAGCTCCATGGCCTAGCTGTAAGCCCTATGTGACAGATGGGAAAACTGAGGCCGAAAGTGGTCACTCAAAGATCTTTTTCTTACAACTACAGGATCAGGACCAGGACCACAGTTCTATGACGTTAAAGCTCCTGAGCTGCAAGACTCTCTGTGGGACAGACAGACAACTGAGACTCAACCAGTCTTGTCCATGTTGTGAGCCATGGTGGGTGTCAGGTAGGGAGAATGAGATACCTCTGACCTTCACCTACCGTCTCCGTGTTCTTGGGCTGTCCCGGGGCCTGTCACTGAGGTGTCCTGAGTGCCTTGGTTTCCTCCCATATGAAATGAGAAGCCCAATGTTTGCTGGTTCTGACGCTTAAGGAAACTGATGCTTACTGGATAGATCTAGGGGTCAGCCCCGGGCTAAATGCTTGGGGGAAGCATTTTTTCCTATGGATCCCTTATCCCAGAGTTGAGATTTGACTCAGAGCCAAGTGTAAAGTAAAGTGTTTTCTACTTTGGCCCTTGATTCAATTTCTCTTTGTGGCTCTCTGGTCTGAAAGTCTAGGGGTGCAGTTATAGTGGCTCCCTGGAGGAGTTACCTAAGAGAACAGGTGGAATCCCTGGCCTGCAGAAGGAGGGGTCAAGGTCGTGCTGTGCATGTACCTGATCTGTCTGGGTTCCCCGGTCCCGGCAGCAAGCGCTGGAGCTCAGCTCAGCCAAGCCCAGACGTCATTTGGGGTTGCCTGGTGCCCTAGGCCTCCTTCCACATCCTGGATCCGTCTCACCCCGTATGGTTCCCTGCCAGTCTGCTTCATGATCTTACATCCTGAACAAGCTGCTGACCTCTGCACCCGGCATGTCCTGCCTGCTTGTTCTTTTCTACCTCTGCAGGGCCAGCACACCCGTCTCCTCTGCTGGATTTCCCAGGTCACTGGCTATTATCCCCTCCCTGTAGCTGACCCTGGCATGACCCTTCCAGGGTCATGCCCCCACAGAGCCCTGTGCCTACTCTTTTGACCTTGTATTTCCAGTGACTTTTTTTCCCAAGACCACCATAGGAGTAGGGCCATAGCCAGACTTTGGACCCACAGAGAAAGATCCCACCTGCTTGCTTGCCCCCCCCCCAAGTGATGCAATTTCACTTGAGAGTAGGTACGTAAATGTCTTGTTAGAACGGGGGACAAGGAGACTGGTCTCAGGCAGGTGGCTCTGTTGTAAGGCATGGAGCTCTCGGGGGCTTGGGAACTGCTTGTTCCCTTGGGAAGTACTCAGAGGCCCTCCTGCCTGCTGTCTAGATAGGAACTTAACTGTCCAGTCTGACCCACCTGGAGGCTCCAACTCTATCAGTCCCCTCCCCCGCCTCAAGGTAGTGTGTGTGTGTTGGAAGGAGGAGGATTCTGCTTCCATTTATGTCTGGGGAGCAGCCCTCATGCTTCAGATAAGCCCCAAGCAGGGTCACATGGAAACTGGGATTGGGGATTGGGGCAGTCTGCTTCATCATCAGCCCTAGCACCAACCAGGCCAAAGCTTGTTCATCTCCTCAGGTTAGGTAAGATTGGGCACATTCAGGATCACGTGGCCCTAGACCACTGGCTGCCTCTAACCTGACCTCCTCACCCTTGGGTGTCACCCTTTGGGAGGGCCGGAGACACAGGGAGGGCCTTCCTTCCCAATCTACTTCTAGTGTCTGGAGAGGGACTTTTGGAGGCCCTGGTATGATGTGGAGACAGGAAACGGGAACACTCTCTGGGCTTTCCTGAGCTGGGATGCAGGGTTCCTGTCCTGGCTGATTGCTGTGTGATCCTGGTTATTGTCACTGGGCTTCGGTTTTCTTTGCTAAAATGCATCCGTTGTACAAAGTCTATGAAAAACTAACATTTCTAAAGCCAGGTATGGGGCCTACCTGTCACCCCAGCACTTGGAGGGTTGAGGCAGGAACATCAAAAATTCAAGGCCAAGACAGGCATGGCAGCGCATGCCCTTAATCTTCACACTCAGGAGGCAGAGGCAGGTGGATTTCTGTGTGTTTGAGGCCAGCCTGGTCTACAAAGCACGTTCCAGCATGGTTTGGACTACATAGAGAGACCCTGTCTCAAAAAAAAAAAAAAAAAAAAAAAAGGCATTTCCTGATTGTCAGCTCATTTACTCTCTGCCAACCTGGTGGGGAAGGCTTGTTTAAAAGAACTGGCAGCACTGAAAGGCTAAACAATGAGGCTAAATAACCCTTTTCAGGTCTCACAGCCAACACGTGAAGACAGGGGTTACACAGCCCAACTTTCTGACTGACTGAATGCAGATGCACAGGGATGGGGGGAGGCTTAACAGAAGCGTAACCATGGCAACCACAGGGCTTGTTTGTAGCTTGCCAAGGAACTTTCCAGTACTACCTCATCGACTCCCTATGGTAAGCCCCCCAGGACATCCACTTTACAAGGAGTAAACTGAGGCACATTGTGGAACTTGGACAACATCACCCAGTTCTTACTCACAGGTGGACTCTAGGAAGTCTGACTTGAGGATTTACAAGGACATGGTAAACAAATCTCCCAGTGTGTAGGATATGGAACATAGTGGGTACTCAATAAATAATCCCTGAGATGCATAGAAAGAAAAAAACTCACAAAGGAATTAACCTCTGGGCCTGGGGACTCAGCTTTGTCTCTATGGCTGCCTCTGGTAAGGCCAGATGATGATGATGTTAATATCTTCTTCTCTGCCTTACAGTATCAAGGCAAAGTCTCTCACTTGAACCCAGAGCTCATGATTTAGCTAATTTAGCTAGTCAGCTTGCCCCAATGAGCATATCTCTGCCTCTGCCTTCTGCATGCTGAGGGTACAGGTGGGCTGCCATTCCCACTCAGCCTCTGTGTGGGTGTTAGGCATCGGAACTCTGGTCCTCTTGCTTGCAGAGCCCCCTTTGACTCCCCCATTTCACTGTTGACTAGTATTCCAGTCAGTGGGCATAGTACAGCCCGCCCCCCATTCCCCAGTCAATATATGCATGACTTGTTTTTACTCTGGGGATTTTTTTTTAACAAAACACATGTGAGCACCAACACATAATTGGGCCTACTGTAGATGAGTGTGTTTTCATTTCTCTTGGATCAATACCTAGAAGTGGATTTCTTGGGTGAAGGGTAAGCATATGTTTCACTTTGTAAGAAATTGGTGGGATATGGAGATATTGCCCTGTTGTTCAACCCCTAGTACAACATAAACTGGCCAGGGCAGCACTCAGGAGGTGGAAGCAGGAGGATCAGAAATTAAGGGTCATTCTCAGCTACCTGGCAAGTTTTAGATCAGTCTGAGCTATCTATGAAAAGGGGCAAAAAGGAGAAACAGGCAAATTCTATTTCATGTATTCACACCATGTCAGCTACCAACAATATATAAGGATATCATTTACCCCATATCCCTTATTGATATTACCTGTCACTCCTCTGAGCTATTTTGGTCAGTACATGATGGTAACTTTTTGCCATTGCAGTTTTCAATTCCGTAATGCATAATGATGCTGAGGAGATTGGACATTTGTCATGTGCATGCACCTTCTTTGACGAAGTATCCATTTGAATCTTAGGCCCACTTTGATTGGGTCACTGGTTTTGTCGTTACCAAGTTGAAAGAGTCTTCATGTAAATTCCTGTTACAGGATCTTTGTCAGATTGACGCACCACAGGTATTTCCCCGTACCTGGGGTATAGCTGGTCACTCTCCTAACAGAATCCTCCGAGGAGCAAAGCCTGTACAGTTAGTGCTTTCCACATCATATTTAAGAAAACCTCCCAAATTTTCTTCTAGATGGTTTATGATTTTAGCTCTTGAGGTTGAGCTGTATGCAGATTGATTTTGACTCTGTGAAGCAGAGTCAAGGCTCACACAAACAGCCATGTGTCTTGCTTACTGTGTCTGGAGCTGTTTGGCTGTGGCTCTTGCTTTGTTCCTAGCATACCTTCTGTTTCTGGGAGGGTTTGTATTGTTTGTTTTTCAAGACAGGGTTTCTCTGTGTAGCGTTGGCTGTCCTGGAACTCACTCTGTAGACCAGGCTGGCCTTGAACTCACAGAGATCCACCTACCTCTGCCTCCCAAGTGCTGGGATTAAAGGTGTGCGCCACCACTGCCTGACTTTGGGGGTTTTGTTGTTGTTTTTGTTTTCTTTTTTTTTTTTTTTGTCCTTTGTGACTTTAAATTATTATGATTCCTTTTCTCGTCTTTCTTTTTTTCTTCCCTCCCTCCCTCCCTCCCTCCCTCCCTCCCTCCCTTCCTCCCTCCTTTCTTTCTTTTTTTTCTTTTTCTTTTTTTTTGAGACAGGGAATCTCTTATACTTTCTTTAAAGATAGTTGACCTAGAGTCCCTTTTCTTCTCCTTATGGTACGGATTACTCTCCAATGCCATACTCCTGGGCTCCTAGGAAGGCCAGCGCCTACCTATCAGGCATGCAGTATACATTTGTAACTATTATGACACTGTTTTCAAATAATGTTACATTGTTACATTAGCTATAAGTATCCTGTAGTAACAAAGTATTCCTGGCTTTCCTATTATCTCTCCTGTAAGGTCTTCATTTCAGCTCACAAATAGGATCATTGAATACATTGTTGCTATTATTGTGAACAAATTGTTGTAGCAATGGTGAAGAAGAAAAGTTTTTTTTTTTTTTAATTTTAGTTTTGTTTGTATTTTTTATTTTTTCCAGACAGGGTTTCTCTGTGTACTGTGGCTGTCCTGGAACTCACGCTTTAGACCATGCTTTTGCTTGAAGAATATTTTCTTCTGATTACTGATATAAGATCTTCCAAACAGGTTTTTATGTATAGAATAGGGTTTCACATTAAAACTTGTTCCTTGCTCCCTCTCTCTCCCATCCCTCCTTTCTTTCTTTCTTTAACATTTTTCCCTTTTATTAAGAATAGGTTCTTCTCAGCCAGGCAGTGGTGGCGCATGCCTTTAATCCCAGCACTTGGAGGCAGAGGCAGGCGAATCTCTGTGAGTTCGAGGTCAGCCTGGTCTACAG